TTTATTGCATCATTTACTACTACATCTTATTGACTCCTGTTGACTCAATGCACTCCAAGAGGGGGGGTGAATTGGAGTTGGAGAATTTTCACCTCTTTGCAACCACCAAACAAAAATTAAAGATAAAGTGGAGAAGAAGAGCTTGCACAATGATTTTATAGAGGTTCAGTCCAACCACTTGGAGCCCAGTCCAACCACTTGGAGCCTAGTCCTCTACTTTGGCTTCACTCACCAAGGATTTCCTCCACACTCTCCACTAACAAAAACAATGGTGGCTTAAAGGAGCCACTCAATCCTTTACAAGAAGAAGGGTGTTTGTCTCAAATCTCACCCCTTTACACTTAAACCCCAAAGATCCTCTCTACATATCACTCTTGAAGGAATCAACATACCCCCAAGTCACTCACTAATAGCACAAGAAGAGGATTACAAACAAAGATCTCTCAAAGATCAAAATCTCTAGTTAAAGCTCATGTAGATAGGTAAAGATATTCAATACAATGCTTTCTAAACTTCTTCAAATCTGTTACCAATCATATTTATAGCCCCTTGCTCGAAAATAGTCGTTTCTAGCCGTTGGGGGTCATTTAATGCTCTGCAGGTCGCTTAATTCGAGTTGCAGAATTGTCAGTAGAGCTAGCTTACACTTTTAGAGCCAGCTCTGTACAGCCGGCTCACCATTTCTGCACCCGGCTCTGCGGGCTTCTTGCATTCTGTTTTCTCCGTAGAGCTAGCTCAAAAATTCTATAGTTGGCTTTGCGGGATTCCTGCACATTCTGTTTTCTTCCACAGCCAGCTGCAAAGTCTTAAGCCGGCTTTGGGATTCCAACTTTAAACACATTAAATAATCTTCAAATAACTCGACCGTTGTGCATTAAATGCACCCTCACAGCCGGCTGCAAAGTTGGAGCCGGTTTTGCATCTTTGCTCCGCGCACGCCAAACAACGATCCTTTAAATCTTTACCTGTAGAGCCGGCTCCAGCTTCCAAAGCCGACTCTCTGCACTTCAACAGCTGGCTGTAAGTTTTAACAGCTGACTCTCTGCACATTTTCAAGCCTTTTGGTCTATTTTGAGTGCAGTCCAAGTTTACTTATTTTGCAATCTTTTGACATTTTAATTATACACTTAAATGAACCAATTAGTCACTCAAATGTGTTTTGTAATCATCAAAATCATAGGTACAACAATCTCCCCCTTTTTGATGATGACAAAACACTTTGAAAATAAATTAATTAAAGCACATATGTATTTCAATGAAAGCTCATATGGAAACAGACATTTCAGCATACTTTCTCCCCCTTTTTGTCATCCATCAAAAAGCAAATAAGCTTAATCAACAAACTCCCCCTTAATTCATGTATACAACCTTTAAAGCATAAAAAATATGTGATTTAAGCACAATATCCACAAATTGCTCCCCCTCAATGAAAGCACTTAAGATCATAATCATTAAAATCATAGGCAATCATAAGGTCATATACAATTAAAATCCACAATTCATGATAATAAGCTAAGAAATGTGCATAGATAATGAGGGCAAATTTTGGGAGAGAATCAAATCTTGAATGTGAAGAGAGGAAAATGGCCAAATATTAAAAATCTATCACAATCAAGAGGTTTTGTAGTACACAAAGATATCTCATTCCAAGCAACTATGAAGGTAAAAAATTCTCTCTCTTTTTTGTTATCCAACAAAAAAGTTTGAAGACCATATGAAGAGCAAACAATAGAGCTCCCCCTTAATAAATTGACTCATGAAAACATGAACATACTTATATAACAATCTCATTAGTAGCACCAAAAACAATGTTAATGTCATCATTAAGTACAACATGTATATTTCTTACCCTTGAGATATGTAATCATTTATCACATTACCTTTATAAGATCTCTCTTTTGGGTAGAATTATAACCTTTGTTTTTATGGTTGTTGCATCTCCTCAATCTTGTTCTTTTCACTTGCTTCACATGGAGGTTGTGTGATGCTATTGCCTTCAATGTTCATTCTTATCTTTGTTACCCAATAACATCTACATCACAATTTCATAACTCCTTCTAGAGCAAATGGGGTTAGTCTCATTGAATACCATATGAATAGATTGAACACTATTACTACTTTTTATATGCATCGTATCATATGATAGCAAATATCAAAAATTTTATTCATTGAAATCAACCATGATTATGCAAACATTCAAGTGCATGACATACACTTGCACATAATCAAATATCATCAAAGTCATCCATCAAAAAGCAAACATACAAATTTCCTAATATACTTAACTTTCAAGTGTAAGACTCTTCCTAAGATCATGCTTAACTTCCAAGTGCTATCATTAAAATTATGAAAATAATGAGACAAGTAAATTTGAATGAGACAAACAATGTAAAATAAGACAAGTTATTAAAATTACTCATTTAAATCAAATCATCAACCATCTTCAAAGTGACACATATGACATTGAAAATCACTTATACCATCAAGAGCTCACTACGAACTATATATGATATATAATCAATCTAATCATTTACATATGTCAAGTATGTAAATATGATACAAGTAATATCTATAATAATCAACAAGGTTGTATCAACACTAGAAAAGACACATCAAATGAAATCATACTCAACAAGCATATGTATCAAAGAGTGAGCACACGTAAACAAATAATTAATAGTCATGTTAATGTAATTTTACTCAATGAATAAATGCAATAAGATAAATAATACCAATTGAGCATATGAGTGGAGCATTCAAAAACAAATTGTCTTTGCACTTTCACTCCAACATTCTTGTTGAGGCATAAGTCTTTATCAAGATCAACTTCACTCTTCTTATGACTTTGCCATCAACTTTTCCTACAAAACAAAATTAAGTTTTGATTTTTGGTACCCAAATTTGCTTGGGTCCATGGGGGTTAGTGCTTAAAGTTCCTTTTGGAACCCAAATTTGCTTCACTTTACCTTGAGCTATCAATCTCTTCAAAGGACATACATAGGCAAAGTGTCCATTTGGACCACAACAATAGCAAGTAACATTAGGATGATAGGATTGACTTGCTCTTACAAAAGTAGTCTTAAAAGTCTTTTGCTTTTTAGAATAATCAAATCCAATGCCCCCTTTGTCATAAACATTTCTTTGAGATTTTAAAATATAATCAAATTTTTCTTTACTCAAAGTAAATTTGGAAATCACATTCTCAAGATTACAAGCTTTTCTCTTTAAAACCTCATTTTCCTTTTTCAAAGCATTATTAGACTCCTCATTCTGTAAAGAAGAAATCTCACTATTTAAAGAGGCATTCTCTTTAACTAAAACCTCATTTTGTTTTGAGAGAGATTCAATCTCATTCCTAAGCAATGAAATGGTTTCAGTAAGAGCAATATTATCATTTCCTAGTTTCTTAATGTCATTCATAGAGCAATCAAGAACTTTGCATAAATCATCATAAGAATACTCAAATGAACTTTCATTAATTAAACTAGAGAAGTTAGAATTTACCTCCTCATCATTGTAGCTATCCTCTTGAGCCATGAAGCAAAGATTTGCAACACCATTTTTCCAAGGAGCTTTCACTTTCCGTTGAGCTAGTCTCATCATTGCTCCAAGTGGCGGTAAAAGCTTTCTTCTTCATGCTCTACTTGTTTTTCCTTTCACCCTTTTTCAATTTGGGACATTCATTTCTATAGTGCCCCATCTTGTTGCACTCATAGCATTTCACACTCCTTTTGGTAGACTCTCCTTCATCTCTCTTTGCAAGCTTGCTTTTGATGTTCTTCTTCATGAATCTCTTCACTTCCTTTGAAATCAATTTGGTGATGTCCTCCTAATTGCTAGACTCATCATTACTAGCATCATCTTCACTCTCTTCCTTTTGGTTGCTAGCCTTGAAAGCAACATTCTTATTCTTCTTCTCAACTATTTCAACTCCACCATCACCTTGAACTTCTATCTCATATGTCATCAATTTACCAATGAGATCTTCAAGCTTGAGAGTGTTGAGATCCTTAGATTCTTCAATTGCCATCTTCTTGGCTTCCCAACTCTTAAGCAAGCTTCTAAGAACCTTTCTCACCACTTCTTGAGGAGGATAGACTTTACCAAGAGCCTAGAGATTGGTGACTATATCATTCAATCTTGTATACATATCTTGAATGCTCTCCTCCAGTTTCATCTTGAAAAGCTCATACATGTAAATGAATCTATTGATTTTTGACTCCTTCTCTTGGCTTGTTCCTTCATGTGTTACCTCCAACATGTCCCACATCTCCTTAGCCGTATCACACCCGGAAACTCTATGGAATTCCGTTGGATTGAGAGCACATTGAAGCATGTTGATTGCTTTGTTGTTGATCATGATCTTCACCAAGTCATCATTAGTCCATTCAACTTCTTCCTTTGGCACCTCACTTTCCCCAACTACTTTCATAGGCACATATGGACCTTTCATAGTCATAATCCATGCCTTGGGCACATTTGCAAGCATGAAGACCTTCATCCTATCTTCCAATAATTATAATTAGTACCATAAAAAAAAGGAGGCTTAGTGGTAGACAAACTTTCAAGTGGTTGAGAAGATTGAAATTGAGCCATCCCCGATCAACTCCTAGGTGGTTAAGCCTTCAAATTGGAGCCCTTGCTCTGATACCAATTGTTGACTCAATGCACTCCAAGAGGTGGGGTGAATTGGAGTTAGAGAATTTTCACCTCTTTGCAACCACCAAACAAAAATTAAAGAGAGAGTGGAGAAGAAGAGCTTGCACAATGATTTTATAGAGGTTCGGTCCAACCACTTGGAGCCTAGTCCTCTACCTTGGCTTCACTCACCAAGGATTTCCTCCACACTCCACTAACAAAAACAATGGTGGCTTAAAGGAGCCACTCAATCCTTTACAAGAAGAAGGGTGTTTCTCTCAAATCTCACCCCTTTACACTTAAACCCCAAAGATCCTCTCTACACATCACTCTTGAAGGAATCAACACACCCCCAAGATCACTCACTAATAGCACAAGAAGAGGATTACAAACAAAGATATCTTAAAGATCAAAATCTCTAGTTACATCTCATGTAGATAGGTAAAGATATTCAATACAATGCTCTTTAAACTTCTTCAAATCTGTTACCAATCATATTTATAGCCCCTTGCTCGAAAATAGCCGTTTCTAGCCGTTGGGGGTCATTTAATGCTCTACAGGTCGCTTAATTCGAGTTGCAAAATTGTCAGTAGAGCTAACTTACACTTTTAGAGCCGGCTCTGTACAGTCGGCTCACCATTTCTGCAGCCGGCTCTGCGGGCTTCTTGCATTCTGTTTTCTCCATAGAGCTAGCTCAAAAATTCTGTAGTCGGCTTTGCGGGATTCCTGCATATTCTGTTTTCTTCCATAGTCGGCTACAAAGTCTTAAGCCGGCTTTAGGATTCCAACTTTAAACACATTAAATAATCTTCAAATAACTCGACCGTTGTGCATTAAATGCACCCTCACAGCCGATTGCAAAGTTGGAGCCGGCTTTGCATCTTTGCTCCGTGCGCGCCAAACAACGATTCTTTAAATCTTTACCTGTAGAGCCTGCTGTAGCTTCCAGAGCCGGCTCTCTGCACATTTTCAAGCCTTTTGGTCTATTTTTAGTGCAGTCCAAGTTTACTTATTTTACAATCTTTTGACATTTTAACTACACACTTAAATGAACCAATTAGTCACTCAAATGTGTTTTGTAATCATCCAAATCATAGTACAACAACTCCCAGCAATGAATCTTGTTACATCTACATGGCTCCCATCAAAAAACAACAAGTTGATTTTATTACATCTACATAGGTCTTAGCAATGGACAAA